GTGTGTGTGTGTGTGTGTGTGTGTGTATATATATATATATATATATATATATATATATATATAGAGAGAGAGAGAGAGAGAGAGAGAGAGAGAGAAGATTTTATTGGGGAATTGGGGGATGGGAACAGTGTTGGGAAATTGGGGAAGGGGAACAGCCAAGTTGTTGTCCTTCAGTCTTAGGTGTGGAGGGCACAGCTAGGTCAGCTCCAAGTCCAGTCGCCATCTGGCTGCCTGTCGGTGGCACTCAACTCAAGGTGCTGTGTTCAATCTTAGTTGTGGGTGGGCGTAGCCCTCCATCCCATGCGGGATCAAACCGGCAACCTTGTTGTTAGGAGCACGTGATCTCACCAGCTAAGCCATCCTGCCACATGTTGGCAGCTCAGTGGCAGCTCAGCTCACTGGCCCATGTGGGAATTGAACCAGCGACCCTGTTGCTCAGAGTTCGCGTTCTTAACCAACTAAGCCATTCAGCTGGCCCTTGTATATTTTTATATAAACAGATGAAGGTGAGCCTTTTTTATTCCTTCCGCCCAAACTGCTGTGTTAAACTTGGTAAACTTTCTAACTCAGGTTCACTGGACTGCAGAAGGTAGAAACTTCCACTGAAGTGTTAGACTGAAACAGACTTCTCGATTCTTCTAGGCCTCTCTTTCTTTACTGTGTTTTGACTAAAGAATTTCTCCCCGTGCGTTTTCAATATGGAGGCGGGGGAGCGGGAATTAATAAATTCTTTATTATTAATAATTTCTCTTATGGCTAAAGAAAACCCAGTAATTCAAAAGTATGAGCTCAGAGATCTTAATCTAACAAGACCTTCCCCTACTTGTACCTGCTTTGTCCCGTTGTAAATTCCAGTCTTGAGGAATTTTAACGCTTAGTTCAAAACGTCAGGGAGAGAAAAGCTTCGTTACTGCTGGCACTTTCCTATCGGCACATTCTCCCCTCGTGTTCCCTTCGCTGTGGTGCTTTCTTTGAACAGTAAGAGTCATTCTGTTTGTTCACTGCAAATTCAGTTCATTGAGGAGAAATGCGGCATTGAAGGTAGAGACTGATGATAAGGCCACATTGGGGGCCTCCGCCCGCATTAGCTGAGGGTTATTGTCTGCCTCTCGCAATTAGGTGCCGAGGCTTGGCTGGTGACAGAAGCAGTGGTGGTGTGGCCCCCAAGTGTTTATGTGGTGGATTTGCCGTTCTTTCCTTTTCAGTCTCAGGAATGTGATGGAGAGAGCCAAGAAATGTGGATTTGGACATCTTTTCAGACCCCCTCCTGGCAATTAAGTAATTAACAGCCCTAGTTGGGTTGTTCTCAGGGAAGCTTGAACAGGCATGCAGAGTGCCTGGAACAGTACATAACACACTCTTGTCAAGTGCTTTGTGCAGAGCTGACCCACTGGTGCCAAAGCCCCCGGCCTCTGTTCGCAGCTGTGCTGAGTGTGGGCTCATCGTCTGGCTGTGTTCTCCCTCTGTCCCTTCTGCGGTTTTTCCACATCCACATTTCTCATCTCCCCAATGCGAGTGCAGCCTCTGGGGCTGGTGCAGGCAGAGGCAGGTGGCACTGGGACCTGGTTCCCAGGTGTGCTGGGGCTCCGGGTGGTGGAGAAGGGTTCACCTGGCAAGAGGAGAGGTTGGCCCTGAAGTCCAGCGCCCAGAGCGGCACGTGGCTGTGTGTCTCTCTGCCTTAGTCCGTACTCACCCCTGACTTGTGCAGCTGGGGCTGCGTGATGGGGAAGGTATAAAAGGATGTGCTCATTAGATTGTATTTAACAAACACATCACAGCTCTGTATGCCAGTCGCTGTGCTGTTTTACTATCGTTAAATCATTTAATCCCCCTAACAGCGGCATGAGGTAGATATTATTATTATTATTATTACTGTTGTTATTATTATTATCCCCATTTTATAGATGAGGAAACTGAAGAACAGAGAGATTAAGTAATTGCCCAAGGTCACACAGCTAGGAGGTGGCGGAGCCAGGATTCAAACCCAGATCGTGTTGCACCAGGGTCCTAGTTCTGCCCACCTCACCGGGTAATTCCTGGGTGACCGAAGTTATAGCAAGCAGTATTTGTAATTGTAAATGTGTGGAAACTACCTAAATGCCCATCAGCCGGGGGGCTGTTACGCAAATGGTGTGACAGGTCTCTGATGCAGTGATGGGACGATCACCACGAAGTTAATGGGAAAAGCCAGATGCAGAATACCAGGTGTGGTAGTAAAAGGCACAGGACAGGATGTGGGTTCATGTTTGATACGAATAAAGCACCTCTGGAAGGCCCAGGAAACGGGTTGCCCATGGGGAGACAGAGATGGTGCCAGGGGATGGGGCTGGAGGCAGATTTCCACTGTCTTCCCTTTACTTTTGGATTTTGAGCCATTTATATTTATTACCTATCCAGAACTGTAAATCAAAAGCTCTGAGTACTACAGCTTTTTAATGTTTTGTTTTGTTTTTCCTTAACCATACAGCCATTTTCTTCATAGCTTTTTAAAATGAAACTTACATTTTCTTAAAAAATTTATATATGTGCAAGGGAATATATGCTGTGGGTTTGAAGTCTTTCTTCCACTCCTGAACCCCAGCCTCCCCTCCCAGCCCCGTCCTGCTGGTTTCTTGGAATTCTTTTTTTTTCCTCTTAGTTTTATTGAGATGTAATTGACATATAACACTATACATTTAAGGTGTACAACAGAGTGACTTGACTTACATATATTGTGAAATGGTGACCACAACACATTTGGTTACACCCATCATCTCATATAGACGTGCAAAAAAGAAAATAAGTGGTTTTTTCCTGGTGACGAGAACTCTTAGGATATACAATTTTGGTTTCTGGAATTCTTCCCACTCTCCCTGCCTCCACGTGGTATGTCTGATCCTTAGCTCAGGGCAGCCCCTCTTGTGTGTCATTACCAAAACTATTCCCGAAAATAAGAATCTAATTTTAGTGACTAGGCCTTTGGTGGTGGTTTGTGGACACTTCATATAAGGCCGAAATAAATCTCAACTGAAATTACAGCGCCCAGAGCCCTTGGTCCCTGTCGTGTAATCACAGTTGGTCACTCTGGTTAAAGTGCCCAGACCCCTTTGTGGGTTTGAAATACAGCGTTTGTGATCCTAAGGAGTAAAAAACGGATGATGATTCACAACTAGGAGTGGCGTTTCTGCACCTGTGCCATGAGACGTACTTCCTGTGTTGTCGTCACTGCCTGTGTCGCCTGTGTTAGGGATGCCTTAGGGAGGTGGCCCCAGGTGACTACAGGACCGGGTCCTTTGGAAGGCCATGTCTTGTGAAACAGTAAGCACAGGAGTGTTTTTTCAGGTTGAAGGACCTACATCCTTCCATCCTGGCCTGGCCAGGAGAGGCCCAGGTGATCGGGGCCTGACCTGGGCAGGTTTGGAGGCTGCAGGCGTTTGGGGCTGGGACCTTGGTTGGCCAGGGCGATGGTTACCAAGAATCAGTGCTGCCGTGTGCCACGTAGTGACAGATCCGTAGTCAAACGCCATTCAGAGGAGCACCAGAGTTTGGTCTGTGAACGGCAGGCCAGTTCTGCCTCTGTCTTCCACACTCCACATGGGACAGGAAGGACACGGCCACAAGTTTATGGGGGCGTGTGGACAAGCAGGGCCTTGTCTAGGATTTCGGGAGCCTGAGCGACTCCTGGAATTAGAACAAATGATGAAGGTACACTGGCAGAGTGGCACACGTTGCAAAAATATTCCATCGGCAGATTTCTAAAGACAGATGGCCTGCTAATCGCAAGGAGGAAGTGGAGCCACAGGAGCAGAAGTGACAATAAATCACAAATAATAAAGACTCATGGCATTAACCCCTTGCCTAAAACAGTCCGATTGCCAAGAAGCCCAATGACAGGAAATTGAGAGGAGGCCAGGCATTTCCTAGCCAACACAGAGGTGGGGCTCGCAAAGACACTGTCCCTCGTTTGGGCCTCGCTGACCAGTCCCCAGGCCACCCTGAGGTGGCTCACAGCTGGTAGGGCTGCGTTTCGTGGTGGGCCAGGCCAGTGGGAGAGGCACTGCAGGCTGGGGTGGCAGCGTGTCCTCGGGCAGGTCACACTGGACCTCGGCCCCTCATTTGTATGAGAATGACAGCAGTGACCTCCTCAGCATGGTCACATAGCTCTGAATGCTGCGACACTGGTAAGAAAGCAAGGCCCAGAGCCATGGTCTGCAGCAGACATATCGAACTCGGTTCCTGAGGTGTTTCATAGCATCAGGGCGCTCACCTGGAAATTGCAGGCGGGTTTCCCACCTCTCTTTATGCCTGAGAAGGCTAGCGGCACGCGGGGCCATCGCTGCCACGTGGGCGCAGGTGGTGGGGCAGGGTCCCTGCTGCCTCCCTTCTCCCCCCACTCACTGCGCATGGCTGGGTGCTTTCCTGTCAGCCACGGTCCTCCCTACGCCCACCTCTCATTTCCCCCACACCCCGTCTGGCGTTGTCGAGGATTTCCACCCGGCACGTAGCCTCTGTGGACATTTGGGTTTGCACCACCACTGCCACCCCGCTACATGTCCCCGTTTCCCTGGGCTGGCTGTGAAGGAAAGAGCCTAACAAGACAAGTCTCCCTGTGATCCAGGGTCGAGGATCCAAACAGCGAGAGTCCTCAGTGTAGCCCAGTTGTCACATTCGGAGGTACACAGGACAGGACTCAGGGCCAGGCCTGGCCCCAGACTGACACACTGGGTATTCCCAGAGCGGGAGGGGGCTGTTGCTAGTCATGGGGGTGGGAGCTATCGAGGGAGGCCGCAGAGGACAGGGCAGGGGCAGCAGGCGTACCCCTGGTCCTGGGATGAGTCAGAATGGAAGGGGTGGGGGGCGCAGAGCCCTGCTGTGGGGGGAGGGCTTGGGGGCCTGAGCCAGGCAGCGTCTGGCCCTTCTGTGGGTCTCACAGGCCATGGGCTCCAAGTTCATCAAGAGCTTCCCAGGGGCTGTTTCTTGTCTACTGGGTGACTCTGTGGGCTTGGTGCCTTCCAGGGAAACTGAAGGAATGGAGCCTAATCTTGTACGGCACGGCAGAGCACCCCTACAACTCCTTCAGCTCCCATCAGTCACGCTCCCGGATGCTGGAGCTCTCGGCCCCGGAGCTGGGGCCACCCAAGGCCGCTGCGTCGCCGTCCCAGACCGAGGTTCCCGAGGATGAAGAAGACTACACAGGTAATGCGTCTGAAGTCAGAGGAGATGGCTTAGCCTCTGCGAGTTCTGGCTTTTCCACTGTGGGCTGTTGCTAGCAGAAGGCGGGGCTTATGATTGTATGTCTTCCTTCTTTCCTGGAAGTCGTAATAATGATGGTAATTTGCACTCACACAGCTCCTTCTACCCACGGCCCTCCTAATATTTTACAGACCAGTAAGTATGCTTCAAACCAGTAAGTATCTCCAACCTTCCCAGGCTGGGCAACCGAGGTTCCGTATGCCCAACCAGAAGCCCCCTGGTTAACGAGGCTCCTCCAAAGGCACCCCTTTTCCTCAGCGGCCCCTAACTCATGTCTCAGCCTCCTGACCCTCCCTCAAGTCCACCCACTTTCCGTCCTTGTAGCCAGAATGTGGGAAGGACCAGGGTCCTAACGGGGGCCCGAGATGGTCAGGTTGAATGAACATAGCCAGGAAAGGAGCTGGCACTGAGGGTATTGACCGGCCATAAAGGATAAAGAGCCACGAGAGGGCCTAAACCTTAGGTCAGTCGGTACTGATCTACACCAAATGGCTTCGGAATCTCGCAGGAACTAAAGATGCAATTGCTTTTCCTCCAGCTGGTCATTGCCAGGTGGCCCCCAGCTCTGGCCTGCAGCTCCCCCCGCAGGGCTGGTGGCAGTCTCCGTCAGCATGTTTTGTAGAAAGGTATATTCCCTTCCCCCTGAACCATCCCGCAGTGATTTGTGGGAAACTGAGCGTTTCTGGTTGGGCATATTTTCCTTAGCAAAGTATTCCAGCTACTGGATAAATGACGGGTGATAGCTAAGACTATTGATGCTTTGAGTTATCTAATAGCTTCTGGGGAGAAAAAAAGTAACAAAATGGAGAATTCCACCAATACATATCAAGCATAAATTATGGTCGATTCCATTTTAAATTTCCTCTACCTTTCCTTTAAAATGGAGCATTGAATTATGTATGAACTAATCTGCTCTGTTTCCCTCTGTGATTTATAAACTGTGGCAAGATTCAGTAATTATTAATAAAGGACTGATTTTTTTTTTCTTAAAATCTGCTACTTACTCTAACCTTACACGGTCCTGGAATCTCACTCTAAGACTTGTCTGCAGCCCACGTCACTCTGTCTTCCCCAAGCTTGGTCTGGATGGATGGGGGTGCCCTGCGGGATTAACACATGTTTCCTGATACTCGGGAGTTCCCTGCAGTCTCAGGGACCACGTGCAGGTCACAGCCAGAAGAGGCAGGGACAGATGGAGGAGGAGCAAGAGGGTGCCATGTCTTGGAGGACAGAGGGAGAGAGGGCTTGTAGGAGGGGTGGGGAGGTGGGGAGGAGGGACAGGAGGAAGGGGGTAAGGAGGAGAGGGAGGTAGAAGCAGCTGCGTTGGATCTAAGAGACAGGGGCACCCCTTGGTGTCCTTGGTGGCTGCATCTCAGTCACACACAAGCCCAGGTGCAGAAGCCCAGGAAGAGGGAGAGGTGAAGGTCAGGGGTAATTATCAAATGCGGCCATGATTATTCACACCTTTTTGCAGAGCTTATCACAGTGGTGAGAGGCTGGAGCTTGCAGGGGTGACTAGGTAGGAAGATGGCTTCTAGAGAATGCAGAGAGCTGGTCCTGAGCCACCGTGCAGGGGGGTGATGGGCCCAGTCCCAGGGTGCAGCAGTGGGGGTGCCGGGCAGGCAGAGCAGGAGGGCCAGCTCTCCCCAGGAGAAGTAAAGGAGATGAGATCAGTGAGGGTTGGAGTGGGGAGCCCGGCTACCCACAGACGGTAAAAATTGCAGGACAGTAGTGGGCAAGGCTCTGCCAAGAGGGAGCCGGGCTCCTGTAGGGGTATCAGGCGCCCCGCCAGAGCCCGCAGGAGAGCTGCCTGGGAAGGGGGTGGCAGTGAGGCAGGCAGGCAGCGGTTGGCATCTCAGCCAACACTGCCCCTGGGAATGAGGACAGAGGAGGGCGGAAGGCCGGGGCGGGGGGGGGTCTGCGTTCCTGGAGTGAGTGTGTGAAAACCCATTTGGGGGTGTACTGTTAAGAGATCAGCAGGGCTGGGGGTCCAGCTGGGAGGAAGGGCAGCAGGCGAGGTGAAGGGACCCTCAGTGGCCTCGATACTAAAGGCACAGAGCTTTAAGGTGATGGCCACCCTGCTGGGACAGAGCCGTCTGGTGGCTGGAGAGCAACTGGCATGGCTAGGAGTGAGGCCACCTCAGTGACTCACTCAGGACGCCCGTTGAAGAGCAGGTCCTGGGCTTGGCTTCAGCCCAGACATGGCTTCAGCAGGTCTGGGGGTGATGTGGGCTGGGGAGCAGGGGTGATGGCAGGAAACTGGGAGGTGCTCAGGCTGCTAGAGGAGAACAGGATTGTCATGAGAACAGGCGGCTTGCCTGGGCTTTGGGAAAGGAGGGTGTGTGGGCAGAGGATGGCTGGGGACAGCAGTTAGCCACACAGTAGTGTGAGGGGGCCAAGCACCTGCATAGCCTTGGCCTGGAGAAGTTGTCTGGGACAGCTGTTGATTGACAGAACACATGGCATGTCCAGTGCAGGACTGTGTCAGTCACAGACGCACAACAGACACGGGCAGAAGCGTCAAGTAACTCGCCCAGGTCACAAGCCATTGAGGAAGAGACCAGCCCTGCAGCAAGAGGGCTCTCTGATCCTTGTCAGCACCTCTTGTCTGCAGTCAGCTTCCCTCCCACCCCTGCGCTTGAGGGGCCAGGGCCCTTTTCTGGGATGGTGTGATACTTGCAAAATCCCCCTGTTGCTTCAGAAATTGATCTGAGCATGTAATGACAAAGCCATCGAGAGCACCCAGGTTGCTTTCTACCATTTGTTGATGTGAGATTTTATCCTGGATTTGTGCCACAAAGTTAGACTTAAGGTAGAGTTTTCGGATCAGCCTGTGTCAACGCCCTGCTGGGAGTCAGCTGTTAGCAGGCTCAGCATGTGACCATGCCTCCCACGTGTGTTTAGAGCTTTGGGATGTGACACAGGAGGCCAGGGGTTCCCCAAGAGCTTTCACACTAATTGAAGAAAGAGGAAAAGGAGGCATAAGAGATTGCAACACAGATGACCTATGCTCACAGCTGTCTGTACCAGGAAAAAAACACAGGCATTTTTAGGGGCGATGAGTGACTGCGCTCAGACGGCCAGCCAGGTGGGTTTGATGCAGAAAGCCTCACAGAAGAGTAGAAGAGCCTTGATACTGGGCATTTGGAAATAATTCCATTAGAAAGCCATACTGGGGAAGGGGCCTACAGATATCTAGCTAAGCATCCTGGTATGGGCAGTATTGTACTGACCTCTCCAGTGGGGGGCCGGACGTGGCCCGTTACCTAGATGCCCTGTTGGGGTTCTGCTGCTCATATGTGGGGTGGACCTCAGCCTCACATGGGGCTCCCCTCAGGGTTACTGACTAACCTCTCCCCTGCACAGAGGCCCTGGGAGGGAGGGGATGGGGTGAGGTCCACACATGTGAACCAGCAGCCGGAAGCACCCCTGCAGGCCCTTCCCCACAGCTATCCCTGTCCTGGGACATTCCAGAATATCCTTTCTGTGGATGAGGAGGGCACCTGCACTCGCCCAGTTTCCTCTCCCCGTCCTTTCAATCATTTTCTCACCTTCAGCCGCTCCGCAGGTATTTACTGAGCACCTCCATGTGCCAGCCGCCCTTTCAGGTGCTGGGATAGCAGCTCTAGACTATTCCTGCCCACGTGGCACTTGCTTCTCCTGTGCCAGGAAAGAGTGAAGAGGTGGCCTGTCTTCCTCCTGTGCCCCCAGATCTCCTTAAGATTGAGGGATTGTTCCCTTTATCAAGGGGACTGACCTGCTGCTCCCTCCGAGGACATCTCAGGCTAGGCTGGTCGGGTCCGGGGCCCAGTGGCCAAACTCATGTGTCTCCAGCACAAATGGTACACAGAAGGGGGGTTTCTGAGGGCGTCCCCACAGATGGACTGGGCTGAGGTGGACAAGAAGCAAATCAAATGAGAATTGCCTCCAAAATAGGGGACAGTCTGGAGCTGCGGAGGGGCTGGGGGCTGGCTTGGCTCAGGGACCGCTTCGGATGTGGCAGGCAGCGTCCTTGACACTACTGACCGTCAGCAGCGACGACCCCAGAGTCCTTCCCACCCCAGACCAGGAGGTGCAGCGTAGTGGGGACGAACACCGCTTTGAAAGGGGTTCACAGTGGGACCCACAATGAAAACTCTGGAAATACCAACAACGTCCACCTTTAGGGGAGGGAAGCCAAATAAACCGGGCCTAACACTGGGGAGGTCTGGAGGCCCTTTAAAGACGAATGAAGAGGGCTTTGTGCCCCTCAGCAAAGATCCATTGTGGGCATCAGAGAATGGGGACTTCTGTCTTTCCCTCGCGTCCCCATGAAAGGCTGGTGGCCAGCATATCATGTCCTCTTTGCTTCTGAGCTCACTCCTACCCCCTCCAATAACTAAAACTCCACAGAAGGTTTGTTTTTTTCCTTCTAAAGACTCAAAACGCCTCCCTAATGGCCCACTGGGCCCCTCCCTGCACGGGCAAACTTTCCTGAGCCATTTCCTAGAGTAGGGGGAGAGGTGGGGGTGAAGGCGGGGCCGTCCCACCAAATGCCAGCTTTGGCATGCTGTGGTCATGCTCTTCGTCAGGCCAGGGTGAAGAGGACAGGTGTGGACCTGCCCCACCGCCAGCACACCCAGAGGGAAGGACCCAGGAGGGCGAGGCTGGCTGCAACCCACTGAGCTCCCTGCATTTTCCCTCCCCGCTTGTGCAGAAACACACAGGCCCCCAGAGTTAAATCAGGGAGGCAATATGGGACTTGAACAAGGACAATGGTGGCCCATTGCCGAGGGTGAGAGGAAGGAAAGCCAAAAGGGAGGTCGCTGAAAGGAGCGCAGCCCACGTGGAAGGCAGCCCCACCTGCCCCAGACCTGCCCGGACAGCCATGCCCCGTGGTCCTGAACCATGAAAATCCATCCTGTTCCCACCTCATCTTTCCTGCTTCATTCCCGTGGGACTGTCAGTGTCTGTCAGCAGCTTTTCGAACACCCTGAACACCCATATCATATTGCTTCGTCCTTCATGATAGAAATCAGAATTGCTGGCTGGTCCCAATTCATGACTCCGGTGCAGGGGCACATACTGAAAGGCAGTGCCCTGCCTCTCCTGTCTCCGTCCCACAGACTCCCTTCTGGTTCCTCACAGAGCACATCTCGTCACAGATCTGGGTCCCCACCCACCACTGGCTCTTCTGTGCTCAGCCTGTCCCTGTCGAGAGTCATCAGAGCCTCTGACACTGGTGCCCGGAGCCAGGTTTCGTGTCCCCTAGCCAGGTTCCCCATGGGGGTAGGTGCCCAGGCCCATGGTCTGACCGTCCAGCCCTGAAGGCCCGCCACTTGTTAGGAAAGTGCCTTGAGACCCTGCCACCAGGTCTCAGGGGGCTGGATTTGACCGAGAAAGCATCTCTATGGGTGAAAGGAAATGCTTGTTTCTTTAAGGTGTGTGCCATCCGGAGTGTGGAGACAAAGGCTGCGATGGCCCCAGTGCAGACCAGTGCTTGAACTGTGTCCACTTCAGCCTGGGAAACGCCAAGACCAGCAGGTAACGGCCTGGGGCTCCTGTCTGCATGTCTGGGAGCCTGCAGCACACTGCCATGGGGGCCTGCTTCAAGCGGTGCCCTAGCCCCCCACACCTGGTGCCCTACTTAGGAATAAATGGAATGCCCCCCAAAAGAAATTCACAGTAAGTTTCACCACTTTCGAATTTGGGAAGTTTTAGTAATTTTTTGGTTCTCATCACACAAGTAATCTGCGTCCGTAACAGAGAAGTCAGACGTGTGGCATTGTGATGTCTGTGCTTATAAACTTTTCTCTCTCCATGTTGTTAAAGTAAAATGGGTCATATTGAGACTGCCAAGGCTGACCACTTGGGAACTGTAGACAAATGTCATTATAGGGGCCAGCATTCTCAGCCATGCACTGGGAGCTCCCATCCCTGAGTGCCCAGGCAGGGGTGTGGCCGGGCATGGGGAGCAGGGGTGCAGGCGTGACTCTCACAGTGTCCTGGAGGTCCCACAGTCACCCTGCCCTGTGCACAGGCGGTCATTGTGCAGACCGTGCTCGCTGCCCAGGAGACCCGCTCCCTGACGGCACCAGGGGTGGGGTTTTGCTGAAGGTTCCAAAAGTCAAATCCCGTCCCGTGGTGCCTCCCTGGGGTGACTTGGAAAGGAGAGGGTTCCCAGGGTCCTGTCCAAGTCCTCGGCCCCCTCCTGTGTACTTAGGACCCTCTCAGCTGCCTTCATTAAGACAGTGGGCATCAATGGGTTGGTTAACCTTCATCCCTGTGGACTTTGTTTCGGGGGATAGTTGGGGGTACAGCTAAGGTCCCCTGCAGCCCACTGGCCTGACTCTGGTGAGTAGTGCTGCTGGCCTCGAGCATGGGGCGTGGCTCCATTGGAAAGGCCGTCTCTCTCCTGCTTACCCAGGAAGTGCGTGAATGTGTGCCCCTTGGGCTACTTTGGGGACACAGCAGCAAGACGCTGCCGCCGGTGCCACAAGGGGTGTGAGACCTGCTCTGGCAGGAGCCCGACCCAGTGCCTGTCTTGCCGCCGCGGGTTCTATCACCAGCAGGAGACGAATACCTGTGTGACCCTCTGTCCTACTGGATTTTATGCTGATGAAAGTAAGTGCGTGTCGCCAGGCATAGAAGTGACGAGTGAGGCCCTCCTCCTGGCCTGGGGTCCCCTCTCCTGCTGGAGTTTTCCCTGCCTCTGCTTCCCGTGAGAAAGGATACTTCACCGGGAGGGAGGGAGAGAGGGTGAAATCAAAGCCTTCAGACCCTTTAGTTAATAGCGGGTCACACACAAACCAGCCAGTAGAGTTCAAAGTGATCAAAATGTTGCTGAAATGAGCCCCGGGGTCCAAGGAGTCTCATGTCTGTGAGTCTGTCCATTATGAAAGATGGGCACAGAGGTGGCTTGGGCCAGCCACTCTCAGGCTCGGTCAGATTTCAGACATTATAGCAGAGGAGGCCTCGGAGGAGACCCTGCTGTCTGTCCTGCAGTTTCTCCTCCAGGAAAGACTGCTGTGGGCTCTGCTGTAGCCCCGGCTGTGTGCATGGGGTGAGGTGGGGCGGCCAGGGGAGCCGGCACCAGCCTATGGACTTGCTGGGTGAACCAGCTATGGACCAGCTATGGATGTTCTAGGAAGAGCTGCTGAGCTGAACTTGGGGTTGAAGTATGGACAGGTTTGCAGACCTCCGTAAGTGCAGAGGAGCCTGCTGGCCAGACAAGACGGGTTAGTCTTTATGGTGCACTTGACACATGGTGACCACACCCCTAAGAGGTGGGTGGTGCTTTCCTCATCTCACAGATGGGGAAACCAAGGTGAGAGAGGGCAGAGGGCCCAGGATGGGTGCTGGCACACGTGGGTCTTGAGCTCAGAAGCCAGGTGTCCTTCCATTCTACGAGTTGCAGGAAGGTGGGCAGATGGACGGGGGCTCTGGGGCCCAGGACCCCATGCCAGTGTCTCACCAACTCAGCTCCCCCCAGAAGAAGCAAAAGAGAGGGTTTAGGTTAAACTGATGGAGGATAGTTCTCAGACAGGTTTAAAGAAGCCGCTGTTTTGACAGGGACCGTCGCGCAGGTGTGGGCCTCCTCGGGGCTCTTACTATGCAGAAAGGACCAGTGATGGGCCTGTCACAGCTCTGCTGTGGGGAAGGGGCTGGGACATCCTTAAAGACACAGAAAGCCACCGAGTTACCAGACTCTTTAGAAAGGAAACAAATTGTCATTCAAGATGCATTCCGCAGCCTTTGCAACACCTGCCCTAAGCTGCCAACCAGACCTGTTCTCGGGGTGGGGGCTCCTTCACCCCCACCCTGTTCCCACGGCAAGAAGCCGCCACCCTCATTGACCCCACGTGTCCTCACTGAGCACCTGGGACGTGTGTAATGCATGCGGTGTATGTAGCAAGCAGCCCTTGGCTTCCCGGGCCAGAATGCAAGGTGGTATCGATGACACACCAGAAGGACTGGCCTAGATAATGATTTAGGCAAATGCAGGTGGGGTTGTGGTGCCGCAGAATTTCCCCAGGAGGCAAGGTGGGTGTCATAGATTTCAGGTCTCTGGACATGACCTCCATGTCTTCAGTAAAGACCCGTGTGAGGGCAGTAGGGGGTGCTCCTCAGGCTGCTCCCTGTCGCATCCATAAAGGGTGCCAAGTCATCTCTGTCCAGTCAGCCAGGAGCTAACTGGCTTCAGTCCCTGTTGATAGGAGCAGAACCGGAGCAGGTCTCCTCTGGACGGGCCCAGCAGGGTTGTTTGGGGACTTCAGTTTACTCCAGAAAAGAGAAGAGAGAGGCCTGTCATCTGACCCCTGTGCCTGCGGTCTCAACATGGCCTCTGGCCATTTCATTACATCATCCATTCTGGAGACCACCCCTTGGTGACGACCTACTCTGTCAACCCTGCTTTGGAACGCTGGAGTCTCATTTGCCCAGACATGATTCACAGTCTTTCTTCTCCTTCTCTCTTTCCCTCATCTTCTTTTTCTCCAGGTCAGAAAAATTGCCTTAAATGCCACCCGAGCTGTAAAAAGTGTGTCGATGAACCCGAGAAATGCACTGTGTGTAAAGAAGGATTCAGGTAAAAACCCTTCCTTTGAACCTGGAGGCTAGCAATATATTTCTGCTATTTGTCATTTCCGTGACCGATGTACCAAGTTTTGGCAACATTTTTTCGGAAAGCTAAATTTTCAGAAGCCCAAAGGCTTCCGGGGTAAAGATGAAGAGCCTGTCCGAAATCAGATTTTCACGTAGAGATCGGTGTTGAAGATAGAAAGTTAGAGGATGGGTGAAAACCTCTACATTTTTATTTAACATCTGGAGAGTTGGCAAAAGTGAGCGCTGATGCTATCTCATACGGTAGGGCTGGCTTCCCGAAGCGTGGAGCTCCATTTTTTTAGGCACCAGTAGCCCTACTTCCTCCATTTTCCCTCCCAGTGTGGGCAGGGTGGGAGCCCAGGGAAGCCCACCCGCCCTCTTTTCCATGATCTGTCTTTTCTCTCTGTTTTCTTAGCTCTGGTGTCTCCTGGGTAGCGGAGCCTGCTCACTGAGGATGCCCTTAGATCTTTCAATTCCTGGTTTTACCCTCTCCCACCAAGCTTAGCTCATGTCACCTTGAAAAACACTTTACTTGAGAGGGCCGGCCGAGTGGCTCAGTTGGTTAAGAACTCACTCAAGAGTTTGAGCTCTGAGCAACAGCGGTTCAATTCCCGGCCTGAGCTGAGCTGCCAAGAGGTGGCAGGATGGCTCAGCTAAAAAAGAAAAAACAAAACAAAAAAACCCCACTTTACTTGGTCAGTGACTTTCACTGGAATATTTTGAAATGTTGGTTTAGCCCATTTCATGCAACCAAACTGCATTGAATGCGACCACATCGTCATTACCTGTCTTTCCAAGTAACTCTCTAGGAGCTTGGACAACGTTCTGTTCAAAATTATGCCATGAACACTCCTTCAGTCTAGCACCAGGACCCACATTTTAAGGGACAATGAAGAGGGTCAACTTACTGGCCCCGCTCCGCTGGGAAAGTTACTTGAAATCATAAATTTTTGTTTCCTCATTTGTAAAATGCTGGGGGGGCAATATTACACTTCGTTGACAAAAGACATCCAGCCTAAGAGAAAACTTATAAAAGTTTATTTGAGCCAAACTGACGACAATTGCCGGGAAGCAAAATCTCAACGGATTGAGAAAATGCTCCCCAAAATGCCCGTTTTGCAATTTATTTTATATATTAGAATCAAAGGAGGAAGGAAGGTTACATGAAGTTCATTGGTTGTAGATTAAGGGGGTGAGAGAACGCAAAGTGGGGAAATCTCTGGGATTGGATAAAAAGTAAAATGGAGAGACACACACTTCTTTTACATTGGTGGGTGCAGCATAGTTAATAGCATTTTACAGCACATAGAGATAGTATTTGGGGAACAAGATAACAATGAGGGATTTTGTAGTTTCCTGCTCTGGTGTGGTGGGTTGTGCCCCCTGGAGGGTCTGGAAAAAGAGATTACTCTGATATTGCAAAGGTATGTTATCTTAGATGCAAAAAAGACAACAGACAGGCTTAAGGTAAATATTGAGCTTTGTTGGGTCACCTGAGTGGCTCAATTGGTTAAGAGCTCCCTCAAGAGTGTGAGCTCTGAGCAACAGCGGTTCGAATCCTAGTCCAAGCTGAGCTGCCGCTGAGCTGCCAACAGGTGGCATGATGGCTCAGCTAAAGAAACAAAAGATTGAGCTTTGTTAGGGAAGCTACAGGCCATGGATATGACTTCCCACCATGGCCCACCTTAGTTAGGAATTTTTATGTTCACTCCATCCTCTGTGGCTATTTGCAGTCTCCTGAGCTTGTCAGGTTTAACATGTGGCCCCTTTTCCGTCCACAGCTTCCTTGTGAAGCTACATCAAGTGCCTGGAATAGGGCCTGGCCCAGGGTCAAGTTCTTCACAAATGATTTACTGTATTCAAGAAGTCGGAAATGGCAGCATGTGTGGGACACAGGGCCAGGAACACAGAAGGGAGACGTCCTATCCATGTGTTCAAATGTAGCTTGGATATAAGAACTGGGCCAGAACATGGAAAGGATGATCAGAAGACCTAGCTGGGTCAAACAAAGGAGGAAAAAAGGTTGGGGGAAGGGTCTGCAAGAGCAATGCTTCTTGTCCAGCCCGGAGAGCTGGCATCACCAGGGCTTTTGTTGAAATGCAGATTCTGGGGGGCCGGCTGAGTGGCTCAGTTGGTTAAGAGCATGAGCTCTGAGCAACAGTGTCGCCGGTTCAATTCCCACATGGGCTGGTGAGCTGCGCCCGAGCTGAGCTGCTGCTGAGCTGCCAACAGGTGGCAGATGGCTCAGTTGGTGAGAGCATGTGCTTCTAACAACAAGGTTGCCGGTTCAACTTCCACATGGGATGGGGGGGCTGCATCTCCCCGCACCCCCACAACTAAGATTGAACACTACACCTTGAGCTGAGTGGCCACAAGCTGCCGATAGGCAGCTGGATGGTGACTGGACTTGGAGCTGAGCTAGCTGCGCCCTCCATGACTAAGACTGAAGGACAACAACTTGGCTGTTCCCCTTCCCCGATTCCCCAACACTGTTCCCCTCCCCCAATTCCCCAATAAAATCTTTAAAAAATAATAAAATAAAAAATAAATCTGTTAGCTGGACAAGGCAGGGTTAGGAGTGAAAGGTTGAAGTTGGGGAAGGAGTTCTCAAAAGCAAAAGGGGATGACATTGAGCTGGGGGCCTGGGGGAGGTGGCTGCGATGGCACCTCCACTCCAGGCTGGAAACTGAGGTGTCAGCTGGGAAGCCTCAGTGGTTCCAATATGGAACCCGTTTCCCAGTGGAGAAATGCTGGGGTCCCAGGGAGCTGGCATCTGCATGCTGTGGATCCTGAGCGAGAGAGGCAGTCGACTGCTCAGCCAGCAATGGCGTCACAGGGAGACAAATGCAGCAGCCACAGAGTGGAAGGAGGGCCTCCAGCCATGACTAACATTCAGAAAGGCCCAGAAGCCGGAAACATGGCAGCCGTAAGCCACAGAAAGCTTCCTTTTATTGCCTAGTATCCTCTTAGGCTGTGGCTTCAGATCATCACTGTCACGTTAAAGCAGCGCGAGCAGCCAGCCGCGGTCTCCTGCCATCCATCTCTTTAGGGGGACACATGCAGGAAGGGTTTGCATCTAAGGACCTTGATGCAAACTGCCAGTCACAGGAGCCCTGGCGCCTTGCTGAGGAAGAACCTTGGGTGGGCGTCCGCCCTCCAGGGAGAGGCTTTCGGACCTGCCGCCGTCTCCCCCTGGTGCAGGAGCCTGGATCTCACACACACCCCAGAGTACTCGGTGCGTGTGTCTAGTGGCAGACCCACTTACAAAGGTGCACCCAGCAGTGCACTCTTGGGAACTGGAGAAAGCATAGTAGCTGACCTGCATTCACACTGCTGTGTGCCAGACACCGGTCCAGTGCTTTATGAGTTTTTGCTCATTTGGTCCTCAAAGCAACTGTACGATGCAGGAACCAAGATTGTCCAATGAACAGGAGAGGAGATGCAGTGTAGTGCAGAGAGGCCAGCTGGCTTGCCCGGGGTCACGGTTGCATAACTAGGATGTGGCAGAGGCAGGTCCCGGAGTGGGCTGTCCAGCTCCAGTCTCGTCCTGAATCCATCTACCCAGGAGGTGAGAGAGAGGGGCAGGAGCCACATCAGGCAGGGCTCAGGTGTGGATTTTATTTCAAGCTCATTGTGAAGGGTAGAAGGTTTCAAACTAGGAAAGAGACAAGAATGGGTCCAGGTTCAGGGTCAGTCTTGCTAGTACTTTGTGGAAGGGTCAGAGGGCAAGGGAGCCTGAGCTAGTGTGCCACCAGGTGTCACCCACACATGCTCAAGTTCTCCTCTTGGGGTCTGGGTTCAAGTTTGATTAATGTCAGTGAAGAGACGCCATTACAGACTAGGAGAGGACTTGAGGCCTTGGCCTTCTGCACCAGGACCCAGGCCGCGGGGCTTTGGGGACAGAGCTTGGGGCCACCACTCTTGTTCAGGTGGCCCGGGTATCCCTTCCAGCCCAGCCGCTAGCTGGCTTCCGGACATCTTTTCCTGCTTTCCTTAGCTGGAATTTTAAGTGACACTAAGCTGTGCTTTACCAACCTTCATTTCCTCTCCTGAAAGGTGTTTGAGGGCAAATTGTCATTCAGTTAGAATTTGGAAGGGATATAAAAACCTGCCCCCCACCCTTTTTTTTTT